GAGTTCCTTAATGTTTTTCTGGCCAGATGTAATTATAATACCACTGGTCTCTCAAATATGGTTAAGAGATTGAGGGTGCAATTCTGTGTACCAGGGACTGAAAATAACAATATATCTTTTTTCATGTCAGGAGCAACTTAGGAAACTGCAAGTCACTTCTGTTGTGAGAAAATTGGCATAATAATAATAATAATAATAATAATAATAACAACAACAACAACAACAATACACTTTATTTATATTCCACTTTATTTCCCCAGAGGGTCTCTGAGTGGATTAGAGTACACATATGGGCAGCATTCAATGCCTTTTACACACAGACATACAACACAGACAAAGGTAAAGGCCTTCCCCTTTTTCCATTTCTGGCCTCTGGAGGCAATGCTCAACTCTGGCCATTGGGAGGTGTTCTTGATCCATTTTTCCATGCTGAGAAGCCTGTTGTCCATAGACATCTCCTATTGTGTTGCCAGCATGTCTGCATAGGGTTCCCTTTTACCTTCCCGCCATGGCAGTACCTATTGATCTACTCATATTGCATACTTTTTTGAAGTGCAAAACACCTAGAGGGCTGAAGTTTACCCATTCCTGGTCTACAGGATCCCATTAAAGGAGCTAGATATCCTGGAGAGATGTTCTTTGCAGAAGTGCTCTGTGTCGAAATCGCTAGGTCCTCCAGCATAACTGTAGGAAGTTGATTATAGAGTCACACTGGAGGACCAAGAAATTCCTAGAGATAATATTTTTAATAAAGTCTTGAATAATGAAATCTGTAAAAGTCAAAACTGGAAATGTGGAGGGATGACTGTAACTCCTCAGTAATTGTGCATAGGATTGCTGCCTAATAGCAGGCCATGCTAGAATACATTTCCCTTTGTCTCAGATTGATTTTCCACCATAAGAAAAGTTTGTCTTATTCCTTATGCACAACTGAGGCTAATAAAAAACATTCTGATTTAGTAGGAATTTGGCATTCTAATTCTCAAAATCACCTCAGATTTGCTTCATTATGTACAGCTTTTTCCCCACAACGTGCTTTGATATTTCTGTGTTGCAAGATGTGACCGAATTAAATTAGTATGTGAATTAGTAATGCAATATGGGAAATAACCGTATGTGTGGTGCAACATTTTTATTGCTTTCTGAATTGAACATCCAAAAATATATTAAAAACAGCTACATTGTGTTTTTTAAAAGTTGGTTTTGTTTCAAGCCTATGTAATTAATGAAAACCAAGTTTCCATAAAACTCAGAGCTTGGAAAAAATACTTCTTTGAAACACAGCTCCCAGAATCTTTCATGCTGGATGAAAAATCCTGGCGGTTTTGTCTAAAAATAACTTACTTAACCTCTTTTACAAAACATGGGCTGCTAATTTATTTCAAACCATAATTTTAATCTGCCTAACAGGTTAACCATTACTCACCTGACTGCATATTAAGTTTGAAACCAAGGTTAGCAGTCAGAAGATACTAGCAATTGATCTGAAGAAGGGAAAGACTATGTGAGCCTGTGGGTTGCTTTCAATCTCTTAACCATATTAAAAACTTTATCGCACAAAGCTGATGGAAGTGCAATTTCAGCAGGATAAAAACACGTGTTGATGTTGTGTTTTCCTGTAATCACATTGCACTTGAATCATGATTTGACTTATCTCTTTTCATTAGTGGGGAAAACCCATCAATGAATCCAACAGCACTGCTGTTCCACCACTCTCTCTTGTGTGATAATGTCCTCTCGCCACAGTTCTGCTATTGCAAAGTGGAGGAAAGACTGTGCAGATGTGACAAAATGGAGGGTGGGGCGGGGGCGGAGCGAGCAAACAAACACAGCATGCATCCCATTGGGAAGGGCAAACACAAGATGTGAAAGTGATTGGTCTAATAAAGTATATTTCCAATGTGGTTGTGATTATGCAATAAACTGGTGTGATCAAGTCCTATGATGTGATCAAGTCCTATGAGATTAGTGATGTTATAGCTCAGGCATGGGCAAACTTTGGCCCTCCGGTAGGCTGTTAGGAATTGTGGGAGTTGAAGTCCAAAACACCTGGAGGGCCAAAGTTTGCCCATGCCTGTTATAGGTGCATCATAAAATGACAGCAGGATCTCACATTTGTAGCATGATGCAGTGCAACAAGTACACACTGCTATTGGGCTGCAGGGAGGAATGAAAAAGTTCACTGGACCCTCTTTGTACCAAGAGTTTTAAAATGTTACTTTTTTGTACTAGAACTCCCAGAATAAACTACCCAGCTTGGCCATTGACCGAAGAATACTGGGAATTTAAGTCCAGAAAGTATTGTTCCCAAAACTCTGGTTGTGCCCTTTTATAGAGTGTGTGTTCCTGATAAATTTACTGCTTTGTAAAAATTTGGACAATATTTCTTTATTCATTCTTTTTACAAAAGTGTTCAGCCACCACAGGAGTCAATTAATATTAGATTTTTTTTTCTTTTTTGAAATTATTTTTAAATTTGGTAACTGGCCTCTGTTTAAGAATCTCTAGATTTTTTTCTTCTAATAATGTATGTTTCTAATACATTGGAAGGAGTTTGGGCACAAACCATCGTGAACATCACTTCTCCTTTACATTACAAATTTAAGAGAAGTGATGCAGGGAAAATATGACATTGCATTTCGCTCTTCATTCCAAATCCCTCATGTAGTCTAATGCTTTTCTAAAATGGGTGAATTATTTTGTATCCAGGTGTTGTGTTGTTTTCCTTAACGTACAGGTGAATCCTATTCTATCACAACACATACCTGCAATTTTTAAAATATGAGAAACTGTGATTTTAGTGAGTAGGTTTCTAATTGCCATCACTTTGTCAAATGCTGTTCTGTTCTGGATAAGAAAAGTGCATGATGTTTTGCTTTTGTCACCATTTGTATGTTCAGTGCAGCATGGAACTTAAATAAAATGTCTTGGAAGTCTTTTTTTCTAAGTAGCCTTCTGTGTTGTTGTCTTCTAAATTAAAGGAATTACAATTTATTTTATATGATGCCTTTCTCACAAAGCGGCTTAGAAAACATGATTGAGATTTGCTTTGGAAAGCTACTTTGTCTTGATCCGATTGAGTGGGTTCACAGTAGCTCCTCCTAAAGAGAATTTTGCAGAAGCAATTCCAGGGCAGTAACTGTGTTTCAAAACTTAGAAATGTTGACTGAGATCTTACATTAGACTATTTAGCTATGGCAAAACTCCATTGACACAGCTACATCTCCTAATGTCACTCCTCCAAAACCATCTTAGAGATCAGGCAGTGCCACTAATATAGGTGTTTCTGAGTTATTGTGGAATAGGATGGTGAATGAGGAAGCATCCATCCCTCTTCCAGCAGTGACTCCATGGGTTCTGTCACAACTACTGGTTGGAAAGCACCGAAAAGTCGGCATTGTCCACAGACTCCTCCTAGGTCATGTGGCCAGCATGGCTGCATGGAGTGCTGTTACCTTCCTACCGAAGTAGTACATATTGATCTACTCACATTTGCATATTTTCAAACTGGTAGGTTGGCAGAAGCTGGGGCTAACAGTGGGAACTCACCCAATTCCCAAGCACATTGGAAATCCCTGTGTTTATGGTGCTGCCTGGCTTCCAAGATGGGCTTGTGTGGATGGAAGGACCTGTGGTCACTGCACTTGTGCAATGCCTATAAACGTACATTCAGAAATCAAACAGTTGAAAGAGACCACAAGGTCCATCCAGTCAACTCCTGGCCATGCAGAAGTTGGAATGCACAGTCAAATCACTCCCAACAGATAATCATACAAACTGTCTAAAACCAAGCACATTGGAGTAAGATATTCCAACATACTCTGACGCAGCATATTCCATTGTCGAACAGTTCCTACACATCATAAGGTTATTCCTAAAATTTAGGTGGAACCTCTTTCCTTCTAGTTTGAATCCATGCCCAGTTTACAATATTGTAAATACCGTATAGGGTACCTGTTGCTACTTTTCTTGGACTATCATTTTCAGAACATCTCAGTCAGTGTAGTCATGAACTATGAATTCCCTCTGTCTCTCTCTCTCTCACACACACACACATTTTCACATATAACTTTAGCTTTTTTGTCGTGTCAGGAGCAACTTGAGAAACCACAAGTCACTTCTGGTGTGAGAGAATTGGCCATCTGCAAGGACGTTGCCCAGGGAACGCCTGGATGTTTTGATGTTTTATCATCCTTGTAGGAGGCTTCTCTCATGTCCCCATATGAAGAGCTGGAGCTGATAGAGAGGGAGCTCTTACACGCTCTCCTTGGATTTGAACCAGTGACCTGTCGGTCTTCAGTCCTGCCGGCACAGGGGTTTAAGCCACTATGCCACCAGGGGCTCCTAATTTTGGAATTAGGAGGGACCTTATTTAAGATGGCTGCTGAAGACTTGCAGTAATCAATTTCCTTAGAATCCTTCTTGGATATTGAAACAATTTATAGAAAACAGGAGATCAAAAGGGACGTTAGAGCTCTTTATCTTTTTACTCTCCTGGTAATATTGAGTAATGTTGGCAAGCAATCACCATTGCAGTTACAGATCCATAAGTGCTCCATATTTCACTTGTACTCCATATTCACAATTGTGGCACTATTATTACACTTGCAAGTTCCCCCTAAACTCTACCTTAAGCTCCAAGGTGCCACTCCATTCTATGGAGATCTGTTCTGCTGGCGATCGCAGTACAGCATGCTAATACTGCCAACCCCCTCTTTCCAGTGATTTTTAGTGTGATGAGAAATTGCAACAGGAATGCTGTTTTTGATTGTAATAGCCTCACTCAGAGAGACTGCTGGTTATTATAGTAGACTCAGGGTCAGGCCAGGAGACAATTCTTAGTTCTGCACTTGTAATTAAACTAGTGATATAGGATCTCAGTCATAAAATACAGTTTATGTGATAGGATTAGTTGCTGGTGATTGTCCACACAGCTGCCAGTAGCAGCTAATGAAGTGGCAAAATATGCACTGTGTTGACCTCATTTTATAGTCCTGGATGATACCAGAAGAGGGGAAGGTTGGAAATGAGATTTCTCTTTCCAGCAGCTGTATTTCCTTCAGTATGATTCAGTCTTGCTAAGAAGAGCTGCCTAGAGCCTTGAAAAGGAATCCATAGCTGATCACCTAGAAATGCCGGCAGGTTAATAAAATAGGGGTTTTTTTTAGAGGGAGAGAGAAATGCGCTTGTTGCATTATTGGAAGAGAAATCTTTGACTTATGCTTATTACTAAAAAAAACAAACAAAACATGAGTTCCAAGATCATAAAGCAAACTTATGCCATCACAACTTACTAGCAGGATGAGCTGTGATGTCATAAAGCAGAGTTATGCCGTTGTAATTTACTAGCAGGATGCCAAAGTAAATGGCTTATATTATAGTCACTATTTTGGAAAAGGTGATTGCTCAATTTCTAAAAAGGGCTCAAGGCCGGTTACAGAACAATTAAAACACATATGCACAGCAAAAACACCACAAATACACATATATAAAACAGCTTTTGGATCAATAGTATAGTGTCTAGATCCAGGAAAGTCATGCTACGCTTTATTCTGCCTTGGTTAGACCACACCTGGAATACTGTGTCCAATTCTGGGCACCACAATTGAAGGGTCACATTGACAAGCTGGAATATGTCTAGAGGAGAGTGGCTAGAATGATCAAGGGTCTGGAGAACAAACCCTATGAGAGGAGGCTTGAAGAGCTGGGCATGTTTAGCCCTCAGAAGAGAAGGCTGAGAGGAGACAGGATGAGGACCATATATAAATATGTGAGGGGAAGTCATAGGGAGGAGGGCGCAAGCTTGTTTTCTGCTTCCCTGGAGACTAGGGTGTGGAACAATGGCTTCAAACTACAAGAAAGGAGATTCCACATTCCTGACTGTGAGTGCTGTTCAGCAGCGGAACTCTCTGCCCCTTCTTTGGAGGTTTTTACACAGAGGCTGGATGGCCATCTGACGGGGGTGCTTTGAATGTGACATTCCTGCTTCTTGGCAGGGGGTTGGACTGGATGGCCCATGACATCTCTTCCAACTCAATGATTCTATAAAACTGAAGAGTTAGGTTGTCAAAGAAATTACGTTATCCTTCACTTGTTATGGTTGCTATGGCATTTAGTTGTTGTTGTATGCCTTTGGGGTTGCTCCCGGCCTATAAGAACCCTAAGACAAGCCTATCATGTTGTATTCTTGGCAAGGTTTGTTAGCTTGGGTTGTCCTTTGCCTTCCTCTGAGGCTGAGAGAGTGATTTATCCAAGTGTACTCAACTGGTTTCATAGCTGAACCCTACTCTCCAGAATCATAGTCTAATGCTCAAACCAGTACAGCACATTGCCTCTTTTTGCCTCTTTATTATTTATTTGAAAAGGGATTTACAAGCAACCTGTTACTTGTAACTACTTACTCTCACACTCTGGACAATACTGGATTAGATGGTGCAATGCCCTGGCCAATATAAGCTGGCTTTAGGGGCAGGTGTTCTCTTCTTAATTGCCATATAGGACAGGTAAAAGTGATAAAGCTGCAACCAAGTCCTGCTTTGCACAGCTCTGTCTCTTTTTCTCGCACCTCCCTTTTTGCCAGGACTCGAATAGCACTTGAGCAGGCATTAATCAGAGGAAGCTATTCCAAAAGGCATCAGCAGTTCTTCTGAAGTATTTGATTTGAAAAGGCACTACTCTCTTTCAAGCTCAGGTCAAGAACAGCTCAATTGTATTTCATTTCTCTTTTGCAGACAAGTAGTGCTAAGCAGATTTCCAACCAATTCAATGTGCAGGTTTGGGAGAGAGGCAACCCATTTTGCAAAGATTCTAGAAAGAGGTATGTGCGCATCCAAGCATAAACAGGGTTGTCTCTTCTTTAGTAAAAGGAGAAAAAATACAAATTGTACAATATATTTCAGATTTTATACTAATCTGCCTTCATGCAATGTTCTAATTTGCTTAAGTTGAGTTGATTATATCATTTACCATATTTCTAAGGTGCTGTGTCCAGAGGAGGGCGACTAAAATGATCAAAGGTCTGGAGAACAAGCCCTATGTGGAGCGGCTTAAAAAGCTGGGCACGTTTAGCTTGAAGAAAAGGCTGAGGAGACATGATAGCCACATATAAATATTTGATAGGAAGTCATAGGGAGGAGGGAGCTAGCCTTGGAGACTAGGATGCGGAACAATGGCTTTAAACTACAAGAAAGGAGAATCCACATGAACATTAGGAAAAACTTCTTGACTGTGAGAGCTGTTCAGCAGTGAAATCTCTGCCCCGGAGTGTGGTGGAGGCTCCTTCGTTGGAGGCTTTTAAACAGAGGCTGGATGGACATCTGTCAGTGGTGCTTTGAATGCGATTTTCCTGCTTCTTGGCAGGAGGTTGGACTGGATGGCCCACGAGATCGCTTCCAACTCTATGATTCTATAATTCTATGAAGATACTTATCCATATATACTCATGTATTAGTTGAAGGTTTGGGGTGGGGATGGGAGAAAATTTTGATATGACCCATGGAT